AAGTTGCGACAACGAGGTCAACCCACTTCTATAAGTCGAAAGGAGACTGCGACCATACCCGCGGCCACAACATCTTGGTCTTCACATCTTCATACACCTTAGTTCATTATGAGTGTGGATTTGTTTGAAAAAGTCCTCGGCTAACCGTTCTCCGACACCGATAAATCCGTGTTGACCTTTGGCCTGACCCATCGTGACAGACATCCGCATAATGTGCTACCGAGGCACCAAAAATTTTTCAAACACTAGGACCTTTCGTGTCTGTTTATCATGGCAGGGCAGACAAAAGCTCAGCATAGAGACATCCGTCGAATAACGGGATGTTAAGGATATCTGCGAACAAATCCAGACACAACTGCAGGTAAATCCCTCTTCAGTTTCCGATGAGGCAAACTAACAAATCTCTTCCCCTCGTCCTGTCAAACGAAGCGAAAAATAGGAAAGCATAATGGTGAAGCCAATAGAGACAGATGCCTCTTAATTCTCGTGGGCCTTTGCGGTAGGTTTGCATTAGTGGGGAATATGGTGTATCACCTTATGCGAGGAATAATCTTTTCATTTGTTAGGGTTGATTGAACTGGTGCACTCTGGGTCCAAGGAGTAGCGAATCAAGCACTTGCAAGAGACTATGATAAAATCAGAGTTACTCTTTTAGTCAACGCAAAAAGTGTAGACGTACTGGCTGTTGTTGGGCAGTTTGTGTATACTGGGCCTGTTGCTGAAGCATTTGATGCTGCTGCGTCTGACCTGAGTGCTGCATCGTGAAATAGGCAGTCGTGGCAGCCTGTTGTTGGCGAAGCTGTTGTTGTTGCGCCTGTTGTTGTTGAAGTTGTTGTGCATGAACTTGTTGTTGCTGCTGCTGTTGTTGCTGCTGCTGAGCCTGCTGTTGGGCGGCTTGCAGATCGGCAGCACTGCTCAGAGTGACCATGCCGCTCGGATGCATGGTGGCAAAGTGCTGGCCAGGGTGTAGAGTTGACTGTCCTGCCTGCTGAAGTTGGGCCGTATGAGCTAATCGAAACTGTTGTTGCTGCTGTTGTTGCTGTAGCTGTTGCTGAAAAGCAAGCTGCTGCTGCTGTTGTTGTTGCTGCTGCTGTTGCTGCTGACTGGCCGCCAGCACTTGCTGTGATTGGACCGCAAACTGCGTGGTCAGGGCCTGTGGAAGACCTGTGGCTGCTGCTGCCGTGAGAAACTGAGCCTGTTGTTGCTGATGTTGTCGCTGCTGCTGTTGCAGTTGCTGCTGCTGGATCGCTGTCATGGCTACTGCCCCCTGAGCGGAAGTAGGTGCCATTAGAGTGAGTGTGGTCGCAGATAGAGCTGTGTCTGCTGTTTTTCGTTTTTTGGTGGCTTTATGTGAAGGAACGAACAAGGAAAAGTTAGATTGAGAAGAATGAAGGAAAGTGTTAAGGTGAAAACAATAGGAAATAAGGGACAAGGATACTAAAACCGTGATAAAAATAGGACGTAAAATGAATCCACAAAAAAAACCTTTCTGCATTCAAATAAAAACGTTGTAAATACCAGAATGAACAAACTACATCCTATAGCCAGATTAATATTTTCGACGTTATGGAATTACGGTAATTTTAGTAAGTGAAATAGCAGTGAATAAAATAATTGCCCAAAAACAGAGATTACATAAACCATTAGAGACAAAGATAAACGTGTATATATATATATATATATAATAGATATGCAAAGCATAAAACTGTTCATGTTAGTATAGGCGAACATCTACAAATAAGAAAAGGATATTACCAGATAATTTTAAACTCTCTAACCAAAAACGTCAAGAGAAAAGCAAATAATTATTTATGGGTAAGAAGGAGAAAGTCTAATAACTTGAATGAAAGGCGAAATATTAATAAAATAGCGCACATGATAGAATAATATAAGCAAATTCACTGGTCAAAAGCATTATGACAAAGGCACTTGAGCATTGGAACGAGCAAAAAACCATACGAATAACATGTTTAAACTGAATAAACTAATAATGTTGGAGGAACCTAAAAGAACGCAGCTTGTTCGGAATACATGGTATGCATGATTCTTTACAGTCGGATCATGGACTTGATACATTCCCAGACTTTTCGCCGGCATCGTAGTCAACATAGTCAGTGAGTCTTGCCATTCTCAGGACCAAAGAACAACTCATCAGAGACCTGTCTCACGCATACTGTGAACTTCGAACAAGCTGCGTTCCTCCAGGTCTTCCTTCCAATATGACCAAGTTGCAAAAACAAGGTCAAACAATTACTATACATCGAAAAGAAACTGTGATCATAATAGAGGCCACGACATTTTGGTCTTCGTATCTATGAGTTAACTAAGTAATCTACAACGATTAATTAGTATCGCGCAAGTAGGAATTGCATGATGGGGCCTAACTTCAATTAAGGGCTAAATAGGTATAAAAGCCGAGTATGATTGCCAATTTATTAATAAAAGCAGTTAACGGATCAGATACAAAATAATCAAACTCGATTTATATCACACTTCCTAAAAAGCGCACATCATTAGGAATGGAAGATTCATATGCATTCTTCCGTAAATAAATGCAGAAAATATGCACATGACCCATTTAAATAAGGTGATTGTTTAATGCCTCTAAATT